GAAGACTAACTCGTGGCGTTTGGCGCTAAATTTTGAATAGTGACATGCCTTTCATAATTTTAAGAGAGAAGCATATTCTTTAATATATACAAGTAGATTTAGAGAAGAGGTCCCGATAGCGTAATATTTAGTGCGTTGGAATTTTATGCTAGCGACTTGGGTTCAACCCCCCTTGTGCGCAAATCTTTTTTTTTTTTTTTTTACTTTTTCAGCTCGATTTTACGTCTTCTTTCCGGAATCGGACGGAAGACCTCTCGTTGCTCGCAACGAGTTTCTCATCTAGTTAAGGTCTTCCGTCTCCAACGGAAGACCTTCTACTGATTCTGTTGTTTCTTTTCCACTATTATTATTATTATTCTTTTTTTTCTTACCGATTTTGTGCAGACGATTTCTCGAGAACGCCTCGACAGTTTTTCATGAAACTTTCAGCAATGATAGGAAACTATTTGAACTTCATGCGTTTTTTTTTATTTTGCCGTCGTCACTTCCGGTCGCGAGATATAGCCATTTTTCTGTTTTCAAAGTGTCATTTTGTCCGAGAGTGTTCTCGAAAACGGTTGGAGATTGGGTCCTGAAACTTTCAGGGATGATAGATTATGACTCCTAGATTTGAGAAGGATATATGGTTTTTGTTGCCGTTGCGTCCGTCGTCCACCGGAAGTAGTTTAAAAATATGCAAAATTTTATTTTTTTCTTTTTAAAATGTTTCTTATGAAGGCAAATAGAGTGTCTCATGTAATATTATGTCCACCGGAAGTCATTTTTCCCAAACCGGAAGTAGTCCAAAAAATGAGCATTTTTCCTCGAAATTATCAGGGATGATTCCTTCACACTCAGAAAGGAGTTATAGGTCATTTTAAGTACTTCTGGTCACACCGGAAGTGAATTATAAAGACTGGAAGTTGTTTGAAATTGATAGATTTCACTCTTAAATGTGTTCTCACGTATTTTGAATAATTGATCTTAACACTTTTTTTCATTTAAAGTTGTTTTAGAACCTTATCAAAAATCGAACGGAAGACCTACTCGTTGCTCGCAACGAGATCTCATCTAGTTATTATTATTATTCTTTTTTCTTCTTATTTCTTCTCCGGTACTTTTTTGTCCGCGAGTGTTCTCAGAAACTGTTCACCAAACAAAGTTAAAACCTTTTTAGGGTTAATAGGTGTGTTGTGTAGATGTGCGGAACGAAGGTCATTTTGCGCGCATACGCATGCACGTGCGGGCGCGTGAAGTGAGTGAAATGACTGATATAATTTATATGGCCATAACTTTTACATTTTTTGATGAAATACTTTAAAACTCATTATATGAGGATATATTAATAATGTAGATAATATGACATGGTCAATTAATCACGAACTCACGCGCATGCACGTGCGCTGCCTTCTGATTGGCTGAAACAAAAATCTCAATATCTTTTTTGTTTTTTGCGGAAATGCTTTGAAATTTTAAACATAGTCATGCATTAAGATATACTACAGTATGATATATAACAATTTTCACGAAAACACGCGCATGCACGTGCGCTGCAATCTGATTGGCTGAAACTTTAAATGGCTATATCTCCTTTGTTTTGTGACGAAATGCTTTGAAATTTAAAACATAGTCATGCATTAGGATATCCTGCAATATGATATACAAAAAATTTCAAGAAATCACGCGCATGCACGTGTGCTGCAATCTGATTGGCTGAAACTTGAAATGGCTATATCTCCTTTGTTTTTTGACGAAATGCTTTGAAATCTAAAACATAGTCATGCATTAGGATATCCTACAATATGATTTAGAAAAAATTCTTGAAATCACGCGGATGCACGTGTGCTGCAATCTGATTGGCTGAAACTTGAAATGGCTACATGTATAACTCCCATGATTTTCAACTAAACAGGATGGGATTTACAACATAGATAGATATAAGGGCCTCCTACAAGAAGGTATGGTCATCATGCACGTGCACGTACGTGCGTGCATTTGGAATGAGTGAAATTGAATGGGTGATTTTTAATACTTTTGGACTAAATGCTTTAATATAGAGTATATTTAAATAAATAGAAAGTGTAGATAAGACGATATGATCATTACGCACGTGCATTCACATGCGCACGCCTGCAATGTTAAACTTTAAAACTTTAAGAAAAGAATATAATTGGTATCCTTCTGGGAAAACGTTGTTAAAGTCAAAAATGCACAGATTTTGTCTTATTTAATAAGACTTACATGGAATATGGCACCAAAAGGGACTAGGGGAGCGTTTGGGGAACATCTGTAACGGTTCCCGTTACAATTAGCACTAGTTTATATTGGTAAAATTTTGTGATTTCACTTTTTCAAGAGTTCAAAGGAATTTTTAAATATACAAATCTGATAGGTAACACTTCTCAAATATATTGTTGCAAGTACTCCTTAAAGGTTCTCCACTGCTGTTAATATTTTATAATTGTGTTAGAATTTGTAAATAAGAATTTGACCGTATTCAAAGATATGAAACGCATGTATTAAATAAACACTAGCCTTTTGTGATATATGTGTAACAGGCTTTTAAGTTCATCTGAGCCACACTTTCCCAACTAATCTTGTGCGCCATGCCTCGGTCTAAAATTTTATTCAACAAAAATAGTGAAAATTTCAACAAAAAATTAGGTCATTTTCTACATTTTAGTAAAATGAATGTAAATTTAGATTTATTTTCGTTTAAAATAAACCTGTTTAAACTTGTTAAAATAAATTTGTTTCAACAATAACTTTTTACTGATATATCTTTATTCAATATCTACCAACACTTAGCAGCTAGACTAGCTGTACGTTCAATACAGATATCTGCCATCAGGCACCTAGCTGCTAGGTTCCCTATGATCTTGAATGCACCCCTGTATTCGGCATTAGGGCCTTTGAGCAGTTATCTGGGGTCTTTTTCGTGCCAGCAACTACAATATGACACATGACCTCAGTTTTTACGTCTAATCCGGGCACTGGTCTCCACATCCTGAAGTGGGATTCAAACCCAAAATCTAATTATTAAAGAGGGTGTTGCAGAAACTCGCGATTATTCCCTATATATCGAGAAGGACATTTAAATACCCTCGTTATGTCTAAATATAGATACAGCTACGTAGAGGACTATGTTTACGGCGGGTATTTCCTGCTTGATATAGCAAAACACTTTCGTAATTTGGCACGAAAAAGATTAGAACAACAAAAAGCACAATGGCTTAAGCAGCATTTTGAAATATACACTGTAGACATCGTGCGAAAATATTTTTCATGAAATAAAACTGCGTCCCATAATCACACTGTGTGTGCTACATCCAAGACATATTATTTGTTTCAAATCAAATCTTGGCTACTAATTAAGAGACCAAAATTGCAACAACTACAGTATTTAAAAAATAAATTATTTAAACAATACAGTAACTTTATTTTCCAAGACAAAACTAAATAAAGCATTGATTTTAAGTCACAGCATATCAAGGAAAACAATTTAATCCTGCATTTCTATTACAGATTAGTTATTTAACTTCCAGACATCCCCCCCCTCCCTCTCTCTCTTTCAAAATAAATATAATTTCATTGCACTTCCATTACATTTGGAAAAAAATATGCAAAAATAATCCATACCAGGATTCGAACCCATTCTCTGGTAAAAGTACTAGTTGGAAGCCCCCCGGCATATCCACTAGACCATTTCAGACATGATGATTCAGAAGTGTTATTTAACGTATACATTTTGCATTTCGTTTGAAGAATAATTTTTATTCAATTTTTGCGTTTTTCAAAAATGTGCCTCTTTGAAACAAAAATCGGAAATGGCAGTTTTGAAGAAAATTCCTGCCTCTTTGTGTATATATCAAAATTATTTTGTTTCAAGGAGGCACTTTTTCAGAACAATGGGGATTCCCTATTTAAAAAACGGAAAATCTGATATATTTTGCCGTAAGACTAATTTTCACATCATTTAATGGCAAATTGAAAGTCAATACGCAGCTTCCAAATATTGTTTCTCGTTGTGTTTTATATATTGTTGCATTTGAAAAAAATTAATATGAGTTTCTGCAAGATAAAAATTACTCTTTTAATCTGCTACATATTTAGGGAAAATAACAAAAGAACTGCAACACCCTCTTATATAAGATACATAAATATATTAGAATGTACAATCTTTCAATACAAAAGTAAATTAGAAATAAATCATAAAACATATGCTTGTTACACTCTTTTTTTTATATTTATTTCTTGGACCATCCATTGGTACACAACATAACATCACAGTTGACCTACGGGCATACATTCATACATAACGAACAATATCTAAGACTCACAATAATCAACAATAAATCTATGGAGTTTTCATTATTATTATACTGTAAAATATACAGAAGATATGGAAATTCTGAATTATGCACTATAGAAAATAGTGAAATATATGTACGAATACTGTACTTGATACAAGTAATAATTTTGCGTCTGTTTTGAAAAATAAAAAATCAACTATGAAAGTAATTTTGTTTAAATCATTGTCAAAGTTAAAATGATTTTGAAAATCAGAGAACTGATATACCCTGATTTATGGTGAGCATCAGAAAAAAATTGGACTGCGGAGACCATGACATAATTAGATAAATATTTAGCTAAAAATAAAAAAAAAAAAAATTAGGAAGTACTTAACTAACATGATGTTGAAACAAGTGATCATTTACCATTTTCTGGTACATACAGTCATCAAATGACTGACATGCTAACATTCAACGTAATCTGAATATCAGTTTTCTGGAAATTTTTGTTTACCAGAATAATTATACATTACAACATACATGTTATTATCTTTTCATTTTTACATCTATCAAAATTCTATTATTATTTGTACATGTTTTCAATATGTGCATGCTGACTTTTAAGTAGATTTATGAATCTGATATCTTACCAAATAATACACACTCAGAATTATACTGTATATCCCTTGAATAGCTATAGAGTATATCATATACAGTTTTCTTTAAAAATTATAAATTAATGTAAATTATTTACATCTATAACAAAACATGTTCAAACAAATCACAGCCATACATCTTTTGAAAAACGTTCCCTTTTCCTTCTCAATTCACTACTTTTATGTACAAACAATGCTTAATTCAAATTTTCCTTGTATATGTGCATGCTTGTTTTTGGAGCTGAAATTGGTTTCACACTGAATTACTCAGCTGCATATACATGTAAATCACATCTTTATACAAACTAAAAATAACACGTCTTTTGACAATCTCTTTAGATGACCATTCCTTTAAAATTCAGCCAAGAATAAACATTTTACACCCCTTCAATATGCCAGGAACAATTCACATGTACATTCCCTAAGCGATGAGATCATACACTCTTGACTAGAATTTGTTGTCTCCTAAAATGAACCTAATGGGTTATCTCCCTTGTACAATGAGTGCGGAGTTATCTGTAGCAAGTTTAATGGCAGGGTCAAGGTCACTGAAGTATTGGTGAAGCATGCCCTCCTCGGCCGACAGTCGTCCTGGTGGGTTACAGATCAGGAGCCGCTGAAAGGGGAGAGCAGGTAAAAATAAAATATATAAAATAGATAAAAATAAAAGACAGAGGAATTATTAATCAATATTTAAATTACATGTAAACAGTGTTGAATTAATTGTAAAAAAAAAAATCAAGTACAGTCAAACATCATTTACTCAAATCTGAGAAATAGAACTTTAGAAATATACTGAGATATCCAATGATTTGAGATAGCAAGGTTAAAATACATAAAGTAAAAGTCGAGATGATATATAAATCATATCAAAATATCAATGGTTTTAATGAGACAATGAAGTTCATGTGTATTTAAAATTAATTAAGAATTCAGTAAAAAATTAGAACTGAATCTGATGCATAATTCAACTTTTTCATATTTTTAACCATAAACAATAGTTTCATTTATCAATGTTTGTCCAAATTGTTAAATAATATTACCTGTAGGAGGTCACGTCCCTTTGGATTTAACTTTGGGACGACTTGCATCCATGTTGTACTGACATGATACATAGGGAATGGCTGCAAAATTCAGAGGACTACCTCGTCAATAGAAACAAAGGGAACAGATGCCACTGATTTGTCACTACATGTAGTAATTACAAGGTTACATATATAGAGTACTGTAAACGTATTACATTTAGCGGCGTATTCTTTTTAGCGATTTTGGCGGAAAGCAGAGTCCGCTAATTCAAGTACATCGCTAAATGTCTTGTACATTAACTTTTATAATTAGCAACTTCAGACAGCGCTAAATCAAATCTACCGGTACGCTAACTTGTTGAAAATTGAATTTTTGCCAAATATCGTACACGTCAAATGTAATACATTAACAGTACCTTGTATATTAGGTTGAAGATTGGTTCAGTATCACATATGCATCACAGAAAAAATACCTAACAGGCTTAATTTCCAAATCACATGATAGCAAAAAATATACATGCAACACATCACTATTAATGTTTACTGTGTTAATATTCTTTAACAAGGAATGAAAAGAAAAAACATGTAATGGTTGACAACAAATATAACCTAGGACCCCTGCATAACTCAACAGATGCTTCATCAACTGAGCTACCCAAGCCAACATTCTTGGGCCAGCCCTTAATATATCTTTATTTCTTCATAAGAATACTTTTGACCAAAATCTGGTGTTTTTTGTATTTTGAAAGGGATTATTTTCTTTATTTACATATTGCCATTAATGCTCTAAAGGGCCCTGTTGACTAATACAAATGCTGTAAAGGACTCTGTTTACCTTGCATGGGTAACGGGATGTTTCACGCCGATGCATGGTTCGCACAGCGATGTTTCGCGCCGATTCTGTTTCGTGCTTATATGGTTCGCCCCGCGATGTTTCGCTCCCAGAACATAAATGTATGCTATTTATTTCGTTCGTTTTGCAAAAAAAATATTATAATATCTGTAAATATTGATGTAAGTATAGAAATTTTGTATAATATTAATGAACATTAAATTTGACAAACAAACTTCCTGGTGGATTATTCTATACACATGTTCTCAATAACACAAATTATATGTTTTCAAGTTCAAGCAGATAATTGCTCTACGACTTTATAATTGCTATAATGAAATAATTCTCACCTTTTGATACAACTAATTACAACTAAATTGTTGAAAACACGCGCTGAGCAAACAGGCACCATATTAACATTTAGGATCCGTTACCTGTGGCACCGCATGTTATTAAAAGTCATGATTTTGAGCATACAACACATATTTATATCAAAGATTTAATAAATTATCTTAAATTATTACAAAATAAATGAAATATTCTCAGTGCGAAACAGAATCGGCGTGAAACATCCCGGATTCCTTGCATGCTGGGTGTTGACTAATACAAATGTTCTTAGGGGCCCTGTTTACCTTACATTCTGGGAGTTGACTAATACAAATGCTGTAAGGGGCGCTGTTTACCTTGTATTCTTTGGAGTTGACTAATACAAATGCTGTAAGGGGCCCTGTTTACCTTGTATTCTTTGGAGTTGACTAATACAAATGCTGTAAGGGGCGCTGTTTACCTTGTATTCTTTGGAGTTGACTAATACAAATGCTGTAAGGGGCCCTGTTTACCTTGTATTCTTTGGAGTTCACTAATACAAATGCTGTAAGGGGCGCTGTTTACCTTGTATTCTTTGGAGTTGACTAATACAAATGCTGTAAGGGGCCCTGTTTACCTTGTATTCTTGGAGTTGCCTAATACAATACTGTAAGGGGCACTGTTTACCTTGTATTCTTTGGAGTTGACTAATACAAATGCTGTAAGGGGCGCTGTTTACCTTGTATTCTTTGGAGTTGACTAATACAATGCTGTAAGGGGCGCTGTTTACCTTGTATTCTTGGAGTTGACTAATACAATACTGTAAGGGGTGCTGTTTACCTTGTATTCTTTTGAGTTGACTAATACAAATGCTGTAAGGGGCGCTGTTTACCTTGTATTCTTTGGAGTTGACTAATACAATGCTGTAAGGGGCCCTGTTTACCTTACATTCTGGGAGTTGACTAATACAAATGCTGTAAGGGGCCCTGTTTACCTTGTATTCTTGGAGTTGACTAATACAATGCTGTAAGGGGAGTTGACTAATACAATGCTGTAAGGGGCCCTGTTTACCTTGTATTCTTGGAGTTGACTAATACAATGCTGTAAGGGGCCCTGTTTACCTTGTATTCTGGGAGTTGACTAATACAAATCCTGTAAGGGGCCCTGTTTACCTTGTATTCTGGGAGTTGACTAATACAAATGCTGTAAGGGGCCCTGTTTACCTTGTATTCTTTGGAGTTGACTAATACAATGCTGTAAGGTGCCCTGTTTACCTTGTATTCTTGGAGTTGACTAATACAAATGCTGTAAGGGGCCCTGTTTACCTTGTATTCTTGGAGTTGACTAATACAATGCTGTAAGGGGCCCTGTTTACCTTGTATTCTGGGAGTTGACTAATACCTGGCCAGGACTCCTCTGTGGGTGTTCCAAGCAATCTTACAATGTCAAGGATTATTTGTTTATTTATAAAAAAGTATTCACAAATGAAGTAAATGGGATTGTGCTGCAGGCAAAGCCTATTTTAGCCATCTCCTTCAAGAAAAAAGATTATATATATTTAAATTAAGATTGGAGAATTTAACCCCAATCCAGAACTACTTATCAAGTCTTATCTATATGAATTTAAAAATAACAGATAAGCATGTGTGCCTTTATATTACTTTTTGAGGTTTTAAAGGATACTTAAAAATTCTTTTGAGTTGGTCTTCCACATCATTGCCTGGGAAGAGTGGTCTGCCAGCATTGGTCATTTCTGGAAAAAAATGTCATAATATGTGGCAACTCATCAGAAAAATAATGTAAATATAAGAAATGAATTTATTTTGAAATTCAGTTCAAAAATGAACCTGCAAATATACAGCCCGCCGACCACATGTCAATGGAAGTCGAGTACATTTTGGCTCCAAACAGAACATCGGGAGGTCTGTACCACAGCGTAACCACCTTAACAGACAAACAAACAATGTAAAATATTTAATAAATCAAGCAGAATGTCAGAAAGTCTATACCATACCCTTAAATTAAATAGTTCAAGAATCAGAGGGAGTATAAATGATAAAATACTGTGACCAAGTAATATAGCTACAATTTAAAAAAAAAAATCTTAATAATCTTTTAATAATATTTACATCTCTTGTACTATTTTAAACTTACAGTAAAAATATTGCTTTAATTCATAAAAAGACTAATAACTATGATAAAAAATTCACAGAACCTCGGCAGAATAAAACCGCACTGGTATTCCAAATGCTCTAGCCAAACCAAAATCTGCTAGTTTCAGTTCACCATTCTGCAAAAGAGTATGTATTTGAATATAAGAATGAATATTAACAATCCGTGATTCTGTCATAACAAATTAAATCTCCAAGTGCAATGCATTCAATCAATATTCAGACAGTGCAGTACAGCAGTGCTAACTTCTATTTTCAATTCATTGTTTCTACTTTGCATCACTGGAAATTTCTTTCATATGTAACGGGAGAGGAGTAAACGCAGCAGACCGATCTGGTATTCGAACCTGGGCCCAGTGAAACTCCAGCAGGTGCTCTACCAGCTGGGCTATCTGGCCACAAGTGATCGAACCCAACTGACTGCCATACATGTAACAGTAAAAGATCATTATCTTGAACTCTATGGGACCAAGAAAAAAACTTTTGAGATATTCAAGGATTTGAGATATTAAGGGCTAAAATACTTCAACTTAGAGATCAAGTGGTTGCCATTGGTTGGGACTTCTAAATCACTTTAAAAAATGTATGGCATTTGATTGAGATACTGACGTTTGGCTTTATATGAACATACTACTGTGAGTTTACCTTGATTGCCAGTAGATTCTACAGCTTTATCTCGAGTTTACCTTGTTTATCAGAAGACTCATCATGAGCTTACCTTGTTTATCAGTAGATTCTGGGGCTTCAGATCTCTGTGTAGTACATTGTTACTGTGACAGAAGGCCAGTCCCCTTAGCAGTTGGTACATGAAGGACTGAAAAATGAAAGCTTACTTTAACATTATTGACAAGATAAATAATTAAGAATAAATAAACATATAACCAGGGTTCTCCATGAGCTGTTTTACTGTGTTGGTCCCGACACAGTAAAATTTTCTTAAAATGAAACTTCAATCAAACAATTCTACCATCTTTCAATTCAAAAGGGTAGAGCACTTAACTAGGGCTTCACCTTGCATAATCAATTATCTCCAAGACCCTCACCGGACTTCACGCATGAGGAAACAAAGATAAATAATTTGTTTTCATACTTTGCCGCACTTCACGCATGAGGAAACAAAGATAAATAATTTGTTTTCATACTTCCATGTAACGGTTAATTAGATGCATTAAAAATACATTGTATTATTTAAAAAATATATTCAAATATGTCTTTTCTATAGAGCCACGGCTCTATAATTATGTTGGCACGTGTTAAGTCAAACATAACATGGTACCGAAATTGTTTAATCGATGTACATGTAAATACATGTAAATTGTTTTCATTTTTCGACTCTTAAAATTATTTTATGATTTCTTTTTTTTTTGTAATTTGGTAATTTGAAAACTGACAAAAAATCACGTCAAATTTACTTTCAAAAAAGGAAAGTAGTTTGACTGTATCGACCAGAATTTCCTCTGCTTTTCAGAACATTTAACAATATGTACAACAATACCATTAATTTTGTGTAACGAATTAGTGATTTTTACAAAAAGTGTGTGCATGTATTCTTTTGTAATTATAATAAATAGTTATTCAGTTGCGAATTTGATCGAGGAAATACCCCAAAATTTTAGTAATTCGCGTAAACTCTGCAACACAGTAAATGTTCAAACGATGGAGAACCTTGTATAACACAGATGACTGCAATGAGGCTTTTGCTGAAGAAAATGTGATTGCTTAAATTAAGACTCCCATTTAAAAAAAGTTTGTTTACAGCAATTGCCATAGCTTGCCAGGAAACTGTAATTTTTCAGTTTAAAGTAAAGATATCTCTCTTTAGTCTTTACAATATACATGTACATATAGTTTGTTTGTATGTTGTTTAACATCCCTCTTGAGAAATTTTCACTCATATGGAGACGCCACCACTTGCCGGTGGAGAGTTGCAAATTTTGTCAATTGCTCAGCACTCATGGCCGTAGAGCAGTGAGGGATCTTTTTCATGCCAGCACCTACTGCGACACAGACCTTTAGTTCATATTGTCTCAACTGTTCTTCTCATACCACTATAATATAGATATTGTAGTTTGCAGTTAGGTATGAAGTTTTGCGTTACATCATGATCTCTTTCATCAGAAGCATCCAGCGTAAACAATTCACATGATTGGTCAACTCATATTGTCAACATTGATAAGGAAATAGTCTGTTGCACGAGCAACCAATCAGGGATAAGAAGAAAGTTCCAGTCGCAAAGCTTGCGGTTAGGAGGCGTGTACAATACACCTTGAGCGCAGTTGTCAACTAGATCGTGACGTAACGTAAAACTTCACACTTAACTGCAAACTATGATAAAGTATGGTTTATTTCACCTTGACAATGTCCTGATCTATCTCCCCGTTACAGCTGTCAAAGTACTTCTTTAGATCCTGGTCACAATACTCAAACACCAGGGTCAGTTTCTTCTCACTGTGAAGGACATCATGTAACCTGTTTGGAATAAAATGTTAACTTTGTCACTTAATAACACAAGCATTACAGTAAAACTTAATTCAGAACTTATTACACAAGACTTACAGTAAACTTAAGAACTTATTTCATAAGAATTGCAGTATTAAAAACTTTAGAACTTATTTCATCTGATCTGAAGAGTTTAGCATCTACACTACCTAATACTAATCATGCTTATCATGAATGTGTTGTTCCTGAAAAGAATTTCAAAGATTCTTCCTATATATATTCTTATGTAAATTTTGATGAACATGTGTGACCCAAACCTACAAAGTACATTCCAGGAGTTGTGATTTGAATAAACTGATAAGACCACGGAACATTACCTGGTAAGATTGGAAATATGCAGTTTACGTCATTTCTATCTGTTACAATCAAAACAGATAGAAATGATGTAAGCTGCTTGCCAGTTAATACTGATTACTCTGCAGTCTTATATATCATGACATGGGTTTCATGATTTGAATAAACACAGTATATAATGAAGATTTTAAATTTTTACTAATTCTTCACTATCTCCCCTAAAGAAACAAGAGGCCCATGGGCCTTATAGGTCACCTGAGCATCATGCAACAACTTTCAAATGATTGAATTTGGTTCATGTTTTAAGCTAGATGCTATGGCATTCACAATTCTAAAAGAGGCACCATTGCTTATCTTCATTATACACTTAGCAATTGTTTAGTTTGTTTACTTAATATGGATAAGCACGGTAGGGGAACAAAAAAGTATGTCAACTAAGTAGTAATATTCAGCAATAATCAGGAGTGCTCCTACCACACATGAACCCCTGACCCTAGGTCTACACATTGCACAATTTTTGAAAAGGCACACTTGCTTATCAAAAATGTTTGATTAATACCAAGGAGCAGATTTCAAACAATTCATTTTCAGTATATAAGTAGAGCCCCCCCCCCCCCCCCAGGGCCTTGAAATTCACAATTCTGGAAGAAGAGCCCATCCCATCATAACCATGATAACCATGTTAATAGTTCATTCTGCTTATTACCCAGGAGTAGAGAAAAAGATTTTCATAGATGTAATGTATTTTCACCATATAATCATTATAGAGCCACATCCTAACACCATAACCCCTGACCCTGGGCCATAAAATTCACAATTTTGGTAGAAGCATTCTTGCTCATCATAACTATGTCCTTAATTAGATTATTTAATACTGTAGACGTACTTTTTTCCACGGGGTCATAATTCCGCGGAATCTCAATTTCTGTTTAATCCGCGGGTAGAAAATTACGCGGATTTTCTAGATTGTCTCTATATGCCTTACATTTATATTAAGTACGCTTGGACAAATTTCCGCGGAAAATTTGTGACCGCGTACATAGCGTAAATTAATACCATGCGGAAAAAAAGTACTTCTACAGTACTCAGAAGCAGAGAAGAAGAAAGATTTAATGCATTTTCTCTATATAATCAATAGAGCCCCGCCCTAACACCAGAACCCCTGACCCTGGGGCCATGAATTTCACAATTTTGGTAGAGGCACTCTTGCTCATCATAACTATGTACTTAGTTAGTTTATTTAATACCTAGTAGCAGAGAAGAAGATTTTCAAAGATTTAATGCATTTTCTCTATATAATCAATAGAGCCCCGCCCTAACACCAGAACCCCTGACCCTGGGGCCATAAATTTCACAATTTTGGTAGAGGCACTCTTGCTCATCATAACTATGTACTTAGTTAGTTTATTTAATACCTAGTAGCAGAGAAGAAGATTTTCAAAGATTTAATGCATTTTCTCTATATAATCAATAGAGCCCCGCCCTAACACCAGAACCCCTGACCCTGGGGCCATAAATTTCACAATTTTGGTAGAGGCACTCTTGCTCATCATAACTATGTACTTAGTTAGTTTATTTAATACCTAGTAGCAGAGAAGAAGATTTTCAAAGATTTAATGCATTTTCTCTATATAATCAATAGAGCCCCGCCCTAACACCAGAACCCCTGACCCTGGGGCCATGAATTTCACAATTTTGGTAGAGGCACTCTTGCTCATCATAACTATGTACTTAGTTAGTTTATTTAATACCTAGTAGCAGAGAAGAAGATTTTCAAAGATTTAATGCATTTTCTCTATATAATCAATAGAGCCCCGCCCTAACACCAGAACCCCTGACCCTGGGGCCATGAATTTCACAATTTTGGTAGAGGCACTCTTGCTCATCATAACTATGTACTTAGTTAGTTTATTTAATACCTAGTAGCAGAGAAGAAGATTTTCAAAGATTTAATGCATTTTCACTATATAATCAATAGAGCCCCACCCTAACACCAGAACCCCTGACCCTGGGGCCATGAATTTCACAATTTTGGTAGAAGACTCAATGCTGATTACAATCATACCAACAGTTTGACTGCTTGATGTCTGGGAGTAAAGAAGAAGATTTTTAAAGATTGCACTAATTTTAGTGGTTTTTGCCCCACCCCCCAGGCCCCAGGGGGGCAGGGACCACGAAATTCACAATTTTTGTTCCCCTTTACCCATAGATGCTATATGCCAAAATTGGTTGAAATTGGTTCAGTGGTTTCAGAGAAGAAGCTGAAAATGTTTAAATGTTAACGCACGACGCACAACGGACGACGACGGACAAAAACAGATAGCAATAGGTCACCTGAGTTTACTCAGGTGACCTAAAAATGGGGTTTCATTTCAACTTTCAACAAAGTTATATTTCCATCACCCTAGGACGCTTTGTAGAAAGTTTGCTTACCTCACAATATTCTTGTGCTTCAGTTCTTTTAACAAGCAAATCTCTCTCAAAGCTGAACTTGGAACACCCTATCAAATTAACATTAACATTATTAATTCAGAAAAATGCATTAATTTTATGAAACATCTCTAAAGAATGTATTTCTCACACTTTTAGGACTACATGTAATTATAGCAGGAATAATGTAAAACAATGATCATTATTACATCTTTATTTGCAATTCTTCAGTTTTGAATCCATGGCATTCATTCACACCTATAAATTTTAACGAGACAAAATTCTGCATACACACAATGATAAACAAGTTGGTGAATACATGTTCCAGTAATTAATTCACAACCAGATATGCTCTTGAGAAAAAGAAGGTCGCAAAACTAGTGGATGTTACATGCTCACAAATAAAAATTGGTTTACAGTAATTACAGTTTACATGAACAAATACAAATATGTTCTACCTAATCTATTTATGTACTGTAGACGTACTTTTTTCCACTGGGTCATAATTCTGCGGAATCTCAATTTCTGTTTAATTCTTGAGTAGAAATTTACGAGGATTTCCTTGACTGTCACTAAATGCCTTACATTAATATTAAGTACGCTTGGACAAATTTCCGCGAACAAATTGAGACAGCTTACATAGCGTAAATTAATACCATGCGGAAAAAAGTACTTCTACAGTATTTATTGCATAATAAAATTTGTTCAAATCAAATCATTGTTTGTATCATATACCTCATCGTCATCATCCAGACGCACTCTCTTTAAGGCGACAACTTCATGTGTTTCTCTGTTCTTGGCTTTAAATACTGTTCCATAGGTTCCTGAAACCAGATTACTTTATTTCATTTCTTTCCAGAAAAAAACAAATGTTCATGATTAAGATTAAATTACTTGCAGCTAAAATAAAACAGCCTATTACATTAGGGACAATTATACAGAACAATAAAAACATCTTTTTTGTAGATCAAAATACTGTTGAGTCTTCATTGTTTGAGTGTGTCACTGTGAGGGTATGTGTGTGTTGGATGAGCAATGAATGTTAGTGGATTTTCATGAGTCAGTGTCACCCTTACTCATGAATGTACATTCCCCTCAAAGCAAAACTGTGAACACATTGGTTCATTTAATCCCCAGTGCAAAGATTCTTATCCATGAAGTAATATCTATATGAATCAATAAAGCTTTGACTGCCCATACACATTGAACCCCCCTCTCCCTATAAAAAACTGGGGTTTTATTTGGATAAAACTTTTTACATTGGATATATATGGTTGTTTTATTCTGTATGTGTTCTAAGACAGGACAGCATTTTCATTAGGGCATGATATGAGGATTTGTGTATATTATGAGACTTTCCTACATTAACTATCCAGAAATTTTAGTGAGCTATAGATCTGCAGCCTGGACAAGTCCAGCACAAACCTTGATTAAGCTATAATAGCTTGAAATAGCTATAAATAGATTTATTTAGTTATTCACAATAGCCTGTTAAAGCAATTTATATGTGGTACCTCCAATTACTGAAATGCTCTTTGTCAAAGTCAGCAGTTAAGTTTGTCGTTTCCTGTACACTTTGGCTGACCTTGTCAAATTGTGCATTGCATTTTATTTATAAACAGCTTTTGATTATTAGAAGTTGAATTCTAAAAATCTTTTTCAAAAAACTTACGTTATTATTCTTGCACGGTACATGACTTATGAGGTACTGTAAATAAAACAGTGTACTTTACATCTTGTACTTCTGTCATATATACTTTCTTCTTCTTCTTTTAAAATACTTGACAAGACATGCGGAATAAAATTTTGTCAACAAAACACAAGAGAGAGAGATGGAGAGAGAAAAAAGAAGAGGAATCATTAAATCATAAAATATGTAAAATTACAACGGAAAACTAGAGGTACTGTGAGCAATGAGCTCACTAAATGATACCCCCCGCCTCCCATATGATTATGATGGAAAAGTCCATGTTTTGTTGTGGCCAGGAAACCCAAAGTATGTATTGGATCAAAAAAGTAAAATAGGAGGTGCACAATGGCAATATGTAATAAAGATTCTGTGAAAGTTTCATTAAATTTCACTCAGTGGTATAAGAGGAGTTGGGGATAAGAGATGGATACCCCAAAGCGTAACAGAAGGACGGACAGACGGACGGACGGATGGAAATACCGATTACTATATACCCTCCCACTTTTCAAGCGGGGGGTATAATAACATCCTTCCCGCTGAGACATTGTTGCAAGAGTTATCGCTCATAGAGGTCACAATATTAGAGGGAATTATTTTATATTTGTGTTCAAAAAACACAGTTTTTTTTTTTTTAAATATCATAAATTATCATAAAATGCCTGTTAGAATTTAATACAAGGGGCATTTCGGTAGTTTTAGGGGGCATTTCGGTAATTCGGATTACCCATTTATCATGTTTATATGAAGTTAAAAAAATTGTAGGAAATAGACAAAAAGTCTCAAGGATTTGACAATGCATATATCTGTTCTAAGGGCATTGTATTGAGAAGAGTTCAGAGTTGAATATTATAACAGCACCAAGGTGTGACTGTTTGTACAATCTGAAAAAATTACACGAGAAAACTAAAAACAATGTTTATCTAGATATACATCTGTTATTACATCCAAAATTTATTTTCTGGTGTGCAACGCTAAAAATAGCATGAAAATGAAATGAGCACAATGGGAAAATTCACAAACCTTCTCCAATCTTCTCCAATTTTTCATATTTTTGCATTATTTTGAATAATTTTCTTTGAACCGATTTTTCTATCTGTGTTAAAATGCTTCTTCATAATAATATGAATTTACTGATACACCTCAAACTTTTAAGCGATGTAGATTAGGTAGCAATCATCTTGTTCGTGGTTTATTCGATTTTTGTCAACTTGATCGCAAACTGACTCATATATTTAAAAAAAAAAAAACAATATAAGAAAAACTAATATACAGATAATAATAATGATTAAAAAATATATATAAAAATCCTGACAATGAATTTAGATTAATTGTCCTCTTCTATTAATTTAAATAAAAGAAGAAAACGTTATTTTTCAGCAAGAATGTTATGTAGGTTTTCTTTTCGGCGCTCGTTTTTAGTTTGTCTGTTTGTCTCGGTTTTGCAGTCAACTGTTCCACATTCTTTTTCATTATCTTTATGGCTATATTTTGCTATTAATCGTTTGTTTTAAGTATCAATAGCATCATCAGATTCATTATGAGTGTCGAAGAGAAATGCCACCACTATTCAAGCTCAAAATCAATTCAAACAATTATACTAGTGTACAAAACTGGAACAGAGAAAACACGGTACATCATTTAAAAAAAATCAGAGACGGGATCAGGTGTCATGGAGGAGTGAACATCCGCTGTTGATCTCAGTCACATCGACGTGCGATTCAATCCTTTTGATCACGTGAACAGAAAAAAAAAACGTAGAATTTCAGTGTGTAAGTAATGGCCTATATATTAACAATTTGTTTGAAAAACGTCAGTTAATGGTACCTTAATTAAGGAGTGATTGTATTTTATTGCTGATAAGGTTATGTATCAAACGAGGCAGTTGATATCCTTGCTTCATCAACTTTTTTGTTGTTAATTACTAATAACTTGCTTCGTAAAAAAAGATCGTATGCGTAGAGTATGCTGTTGCATGCATGTGTATCGAACTGTATCAGCTGTGTATCAAGTGAGAAGCATCATCATTAAATCCATATGCAGGTAATTACATATAGGCACCTGATCGAAATGAATGGTTCTCCCCCAACCCTTCTGAACAATTACTAATCGAAAATAAGTGAATTCCAAGCCTTCAATACCTACGTTTCGTAATATCTGATGCCATTTTCAATTTTTTTGTTTTAGAGATAGTCCCTTCATTAAAATAGACACAAAACCTTTTTAACAAATAGAGGTCTCCGCTACAAGAGAAAATTTCAACACAGTATTGCCAATGAAATTTATGGCAAATGCAGATCGAGGAGATAGTATGGCAAGCCTTTTTACTATTTAGTCGTGAAATAAAAAAATTCTATCTATAAGAGAGATATCTCTTTCGCTTATAAAGATATCTCTTTGATTAATAGAGATATCTTTCTACCTTAGAGAGATATCTCTTTTAACAAAAGAAATATTAAAAGAGATATCTCTTTTTGTAAGAGAGATATATCTATCTTACTTAGAAAGATATATTTATAAGCTAGAGAGATATCTTTTTAAGCGAGAGAGATACTATATCTTTAAGCCGCAATAAGCGAGATAGATATCTTTAACATGGTTAAAGAGATATCTTTCATAGTTAGAGAGATATCGATCTCTTTAGATTTTCAAGTGAAAGAGGTATTTCTTTTTCCAGTGATCCTTAAAATAAGATAATTATTTCTCCCCTTTCAAACGAAAGCAAAACAAGAAGTAAAGTCTCTGGAATAATTTCACTTTATGAGAAAAAAAAAGACTGAGAATGTCATACCCAGAATAATATATGTAATTAGACGAAAGGCTTGCCATAAGAAAGTGTTTCACAAGCATAGAGCTTCTGTCTATTTCAAGTGATAATGTTTTATTTGTCTTAAATACCAAGATTAGAGACAGTACAACCTTGCTACCTTTGTTGATAAAATGTATTCAAAGAAACATCAGCCTATATGCAAATTTATTCAAAACTTTGATTCCTCAACTGTTTCTGCTCAGCTCACGTAGCTGTGGAAAAAGATATGTGGCAGGAAAGTATGGGCCTTTATTAAATGTTCAGAAACGTACCATTGGTGGGTAATCTTGGTCTGTCTATCTAGATCCCCGATACCGTGAGAGTACAGTAACATGAAATATATGGAGATAACGAACCGTATTCAAGCACAAAAGTCCATAAAACAATACAAAATAGGAGCAGAGCAAACACAGACCTCCAAAACATCAGAGGTGGGACTAGGCGCCATGGAGGAGTGAGCATTCCCTGCCGACCGGTCACACCCGACGTGTGCTCTTTGTCATGATCGGGAAATAACCGACAACTCTGTCGTCAATCCAGTGTGTAAATAATGGACTAACAATTGATATGAAAACATCAGTGTATATTTGATTGACATAAATGATGACTTTAAACGAGACTGTTGATACCAAGTAATCTTGTTTCATCACCTTTTTTTGTCAATAATTTACCTCGTTTTATAAATTGTTCATAGGTAGACCATGCTCTTGCGTACCGAATCAACTAACAGATATACTTCGTATGCAGGTGATGAAGGTATATAATTGTTGCATAAATAAGGGAAGTTGACGATTGGAAAGTTAAAGCTATCACGTTTACTATAGAGCTTGGTTGATATTTTACCATTAACGTATTTTTCAAGTAAAATATTCAAATATGAAACAGATGTGTCAGACTCTGTGGTATCTTTTATCTCAAGCTCACCGACATATCGTCATAAGAATGGAAATAACCATTGTTACAACGCACTTTGAAAAAAAAATTTCAAAGTGCGTTAAATTTGGGACCAAATCAACGCACTTTGAAAAAATAAAATTTCTTTTCAAAGTGCATTAATATCGACCATATTAATGCACTTTGAAAAAAATGTATGGCTTGGTCCAAATCTTAGGTATGATAAATAATTGAACCTTTTGGATAACTTTTCGGTAATAGGCTCACTCCAGGATGTGAAACAGAGCGATTTTGAATTTTTCAGTTTGCATTTATTTTTTGTCAACTAAAATTAATTGAAAGTTTTCAACGTCATAGTAGTTATGCAAAATAATACATATATTTGGGTGTAGAACAAGTATCAATACAGGGAGGACGGGGGGTTACGCACACAAATGCATGTTTAGCATTTAAAGATAAACGTTTACATATTGTAGGCATCGAAAATTGGGTTCCACTTTCAATTTGCTACGGACAGCTATGTACAGTGTATAAGAAAAAAAGAGTTAGGCTGAGAGTATTGACCTTCTACTCGTCTTCTCCTTGTTCTCAATTAGGGTAAATCAAAATATGAAAATTAAAAAGGTTTTTTTTTTAAAGATCAATTATCACAAATTGATTCTCTCAATTACTACGATCTAAGTGTAAATTTTTATACATATTTTTTTTCAAAGTGCGTTAAAAGTCCCCATAGTATGTTGATGTACACTCCTAACGCACTTTGAAAAAAAATTTCAAAGTGCGTCGAATGTGTCCCAAAGAAAGTGGGCGCACTAGATGGGCAGTCGGCAGGAATCATTCACACGAAACAATTCAGCTTCAAGTAGTTTTAATACATATCTTATACATGTACAATGAACCTAGAAACTTCATGGGAATGGATTTCTGTCTTATGTTTTTTTATTTGAAAATAATTTTTTTTTTCAATTAAAAGGTGTCCTGAAAGATTTATCTATGCTGGATACATTTAATAGAATTTAATAGAAGTCTAACACTAAATAATTTTTGTGCTCAGTTTTCAAATGCAGTGAAAATATTGGATGTAACAGAAAGATCGAAGTTGCTAGTTTTTTTTTTTTTTAATATATTCAATATATTTTCATCAGGAATAACTTTGTAGTTACAAGTTCATGTATGTTTATTTCTATTTAGCACTATAAATGACAAAATGTGAACGCCTTGAAAAATAAAACAATGAATGTAAAATAATTTATAAAACATAATTTTGCAACTTTATTCAAGGAGTATATTTATTTTACTACAAATTCAAAGATTTCAAGCAAAAAGAGAAAAAAATAGAATGAAAAAATCACTGTATTCGAACCCAAAATGCTGCATCGTTATAGCTCGAATCCAGTGACAAACCAATGTAGCTACCGCGGGTCACTATACCTAGCTAGTATTTAAATCATTATTTAAAGCCAAAGCCCTATATAATTGGACTTTGTCAATTTTCTACCAAAAAATAAATAGAAAAAGTTTAGATTTTGGTATTTCAGGGTCGTCTCTCCATTTTTTAAACAGCTTGAATAAATTTTACGGTAAAAAATACACTGATAACGCATTTAAAATTCATGGAGAGAAGACCCAGAATCAACAAAATTACTGAAAAACGGCTACGAAAGAGTCGATTTTTGCATCATTTGACTCGTACGCCAATATTCAGTTGCATATTCAAATAAAACCAAACATATTTTACTGAATATTTGCCCATTTTACATTCACCTACAACACAGTCGTTGGCTAGGTTTTGAAAAAAATGTATAAATCAATAATAATTAGGGTCTTCCGTCTCCAACGGAAGACCCTTTAATTATTCTATTGTTTCTTTTTCACTTTTATTAAGGTCTTCCGTCTTCAGCGGAAGACCTTCTTGTTATTCTTCGGTTTCTTTTTCCCTATTATTAAGGTCTTCCGTCTCCAACGGAAGACCTTGTTATTCTTCGGTTTCTTTTTCCCTATTATTATTATTTTTTTTCCAACCGATTTTTGTGCACGCGATTTCTCAGAAACGGCTCGGCCGATTTACATGAAATTTTCATATGTAATAGCTAATTAATCGATCTTGATAGGTTTTTAAGTGTTTTGATGACGTCACTTCCGGTCGTGAGATATGGACAATTTTCTGATTTTAAAATGCAATTTTGTCTTGATTTAGTAGGGAAAACTGCTGAAGATATGAACTGAAGATTAATTGGAGATGATAGTTCATGACTTATAGCAATGCAGAATCGCCTTTTCGTACGTCGTCAATACTTCCGGTCGATACCGGAAACGAATTTAAAAAACACAATTTTTCAACTTTTCTTTTTTTATATTTTTGTTTTAGAATTGAATAGAGACTCTTTTGCAGAAGCGAAACATGTAATTTGTTTGAAAATCGA